GCTTTGCAAAATTTATGGTGATTTATGCTAGTGACAGCAAAAGGCAGGTGTAAAGCAACAGCCATTTATACAATTAGTGACCTGAGTAATTCAAGTCCGGTGCAAAAACGCATGATCGCACGGGCCCGCGCGGTGCTTTTCAGCCTGGGTTCATTTTATAATCGTGTAGGGTTCAATGTGAAATCCAAATAAACTTTTTCGCCTAAGCTTTTTTTTGATGAGCTATGATCACGTTTCAAGTTTGGGCTGGTGTTCAGTTTTCATAAAAGACCGAACTGTGAATTTCAATTTTTGTTGCACATGACTTCGACAAACCATGATGAAGCTTTAAACATATCGGCGCACTGGTCAGCGAAAACTTACGTCAGCTTGATGCACAATTACATAGCCGTGCTAACCTCACCTATCGCTTTTCATGCTCTCATTTTTATGCGTTTTGTGCTGTGCAACAGCTGTACAAAACATATATTGTCACGGAGTTTTGTGTTTGTGTGCGTGTGTGTGCGTGTGTGTGTGTGTGCGTGTGTGTCCGATATATCTTGTTTTGCTTGCTTTTGTCTGCGAGGAAATAATGAATTTAGTTGTTTAGGGGCGTGATACCTACAATGAGACATTTTGGGGATCTGAGATGTGGAACGCGAACACGCCAGTGCAGGAGGACTGCTTGCGGCTGAATATTTGGACTCCAGCTAATGCTTTGTAACTTTTTCTTTCCTTTTGTTCGGATGTCCCAATAAATTTGTGTCTTTGTTTGTTTCCGACTTTTGTCCAGGATTTTCAGCTCAACAACCAGAAGAGCTAGGAAGCTGAAATTTTGCGAAGACCTTTCCTGCCCGTGTTTATTGTTTTGTCTTTACACGCATTATCATATATGGCAAATTATTCGCTTTCATCGCTCTTCTTGATAGGCTTGACAAAAATTTTTCTCGCTCCCTTTTTTCTCTTTTTTTTCCTGTATTTTTTATTCATTTAAACCTTTTCTTATCAATATTTCAGTAACTTAACAACAATGGTATGGCTGTTCGGGGGTGGTTATTACTCAGGCAGTCCGTCCCTGATTTTATACGACGGCAAAGCTATGGCAGTCACTGGGAACGTGATCGTTGTGAACATTAACTACAGACTTGGCCCGTTTGGATACTTATATTTGGATCATGAAGATGCCCCCGGCAATATGGGGATGCTCGATCAAGTTCGTTTTGTGTACTTTCTGCGAACTTTCAAATTTACGCCTATTAATGCTATACCATACTAATTCAATTTTGGACAAGTGACCGCCATATGATCTTTTATTAAGTTATAGTCGAATGGTCAATCTCTGAAAGTTTTTCATTACGACAAGCTAGTTAGCCAAAATAAGTTGATCCGAAAAGCTTTTGTGAAGAAAAATGCAGATTTTGTTGACTCTTTAGAGATTTTGTTGACTGTTATCGAAATAAGTAAAGT